GCGCGATGGTCGTGAACGGATCGAAGCGGAATGGCAACCCGGGTAGACTTCGAACGCCACGTGGCCGGCGCTAAATGCTGGTCGGAAAGGGGTTATAAGCAGGGTAGACTTAGCCTTATTTTCCCCATCCCATCGTTCCTTCGTCGCTACCTCGCCGTCCTTTCCCACATACTCGCTGCTTCCACGATGTCTGCTCGCTCCGCCACCCCTGCCTCGATGCCTTCGCTCGTCAACCGCCGCCTCGCCTCGCTGCTTGTGGTCCTCGAGGCTCCGCCGACCACCGACGCCGCACTCGACGTGGTCGAGGAGTGGGCGCAAGACTTGTTGCCGCTCATGGTAAGTCACTGCGTAATCTGCATAACCCAACTAACCGTTTGTTTTCAAACAGCTCACCTATCGCAAGGCCTTGGGCGCCATCCGCGACGAGGAGACGGAGTTGCGCGTCGCCGCCGCCATCAAACAACTCGCCGAGCGGGCGTCAGAGTCGTGGGTCGAGTGGGCGCGCGGGGACTGGCCTGAGCTTGCGACTGCCATTGACACTGAGGTCGAACGACGCCTCGAAGAACAGAAGCGCCTCGCCGAGGAGGAAGCACGACGCGTCGAAGAGGCCGCGAAGCGTGCGAAGGCCGCCGAGGACCGTCGCCTCGAAGACGAACGGCGTCGAAAGGATGAAGAGGACCGTCTCAGGCAGGCCGCCGAAGATGAGCGTCGCGCACAAGAGGCCGCCGATGAGGAGTTGGCGAGGATCGCGGCCGCCGAGGGACTTCTCGACAAGGGGAAAGGGCGCGCGATAGTCGACGAGGAAGTCGCCAAGTTGTCGGACGACCCTTCGATCGTAAGTGTTCTCTTTTACCGTCCTTCGATTACTAATCTTTCTTTCGTAGAAGACTCCTCGGACGATCGAACGTCTGTTCGCGATGACAGAGGTCGACATGGCCGCCGCGGCGATTGAGAAGCGCCAGGCCGGACAGAAGGTAAGCTCGACACTTCGTCGAAGCTGTTCGATGCTAACGTCTTGATAGTGTGATCGTTGCGCCGGCTACCGCTCGGCCCCTGTCGAGTGCGTGTGGGTCGAGAACGCCACGACCTGCAAGAGGTGCGCGCAGTTCCAACAGGGCTGCTACTTCGACAAGGTGTCCGTCCTGGGCAAGACAAAGAAGATGCGCGGCGGGGGATCAACCACCAAAAAGCGCAGTAAGTTGTTTCTTCTGGTTGTCCTAAACTTTGGCTGACGTTGTGGTAGTTCGGCCGGCCTCTCCTGGGCCTTCGATCGCGGACTTGGGTGGTTCGAAGAAGCGCCGAGTCGACGAGCCTCCGCGACCCCTTTGTCATGAGTTGGTACGGCGTCTAGCCGTTTTTTAATTTTTCCTTTTCGCGGGCTCGAACCCGCGACCTCTGTACTACCTGCCTGATATGGACGCATCGTTATCTACTGTACGATTAGATTAGATAGGATGGCAGTGCACGGCACAGCTCGGGCTCCGCTGACACAGCCGCTCTGACTCACCGGCCCCCGGGGCTGCGTCAGCATGCTGCGCACGGACCAGCTGCGCACGGACCCACGCGCACAGCCTGCCCTAATCTCCCCATGTATATAAGCCGGCCTCTGCTGCCCTAGGGACCTCAGTTTCGACCTCTTGTCCCTAGGTCAGTAAGCCCTCATTTGTATTCTTTCTTACCCTACTAACTAATATACTTTCTTGTCCCTAGCCTTAGGTTTGAGCCTAGCTCACCATCGCTTCGGTAAGAACTCAGTCGAACGCCCCCAGCGCCTTGTTTGGTTTTCCTCTGTCGCTTGACCCTAAGTCGCGACACCCTTCTACGACTGCCACTCGATGGGGCCAGCCGCCTTGGCCTCGAACAAGACGATCTCGACGCGCTCGACCTCGACGACGAATCTCAGGGGATCATCCGCGTCATCCGCGAGGAGCGCGCTCACATCGCTCGCCGTCGAGTGCTCCTCCACGACATGGACCTCGACCTCCAGAAGATGGAGAAGGCCGCGCTCGCGAAGGGAGGGATCGGTTTCGTGCGCGGGGCTGTCGACGATGAGTAGGCGATGGTGCGGGTCGTCTTGTATCGTAGTTGTCCTTATGTCGTAGAGTATTGTGTAGATGGTCGAATCGAAAAGGTGGCCCTTGGCCTAGACAAAACCTAGCGGGAACTAAGAAAAAGAAATGAAAATAAGTGTGTTCGAAGCAAGTCGTAATATGATCGAAGGGCATAGAAGGTGAAATCGAAATGTTCGTAGTGAGGGAAAATGGACTTAATGAAAATATAGGCTCAGTTTGTCATCACAGCCTAGGAGGACTCGTCTAAGGTGAGCCTCCGCGCAACGGTCGAATCGAAGCGTTCATAGAACTTCGACCGATGTCGCGACTATCAAGTTGAATCGAAGGTATTCGTACAAGGGATGGTCTGGAACGTAGGAGAAAATCAAACATATCGCGTAACGTGAGAGCAGGAATGGAGAGAAGAAAGTACGTATCGTGTTGTACAAGTAAGGGAAGATCCTCTATTCGTCGCGTTCTTCGGCTTCTTCGACTTCATCATCGTCGTCGTCGCCTAGAGAATTCGATAGTTCGAGTTCTTGAAGACGCTCGGTCGAGACATCTTCGAGATCTTCGGGAATTGGTATGGATTTGCGCGCGAAATATGGAATGACGCGGAATGCTGCGATAGGTCGATTGAGGACTGTACCGTCGAGTTCGCACACGATGTACGTGCCGCCCTTGTTGCGCGAGACAACGATGAGGGGGCCTAGATATCGCGGGCGCATCTTGCGGTTGAGGGACTTCTCGATCTTCGTGTTGCGTATGAGCACTAGGGCTCCGCGTTTGAAGTCGAAATCCTGGATCGAGTGCTCGTGCTCTTTCTCGAAGCGAATTGCTGCCGTTCGATGTGCTTCGTAGACCTTCGAGTGGAGTTCGGTGACTTGCTCGACGCGTTTCTGAAGCGCAATGGCTCTACGGGCAATGAGATCGGTCGTCGAAAGAATCGAAGTCGGTGGTGGTTGCAGGTACGTGGCTTCGACGATGTCAAGAGGAATGAGCAGATGGGTGCCCGTAACAGCGAAGTAGGGTGAGCAGCCCATGCGTCGTCGAGTCGTGATGCGCTCGGACCAAAATACAAAGTACGCAGCTTGGGACCATTTCTTCTCATCTCTGTCGGCTGTCTTGAACAAGGCTTGTCGCGTGCTGAAATGCGGACGTTCGACCAGACCGTTCGCCCTCGAATTGTACCCACTGATTTGAATATGGTTGATGTGGTATTTCTTCGAAAGGTAATCGGCCGCCTTGATAAATGCTGTACCGTTGTTGGTGACGATCTCACTGAGCGCACCCCATCGACAGAGGATGTCTTTGAAGATCCAGTCGGCGAGGGCCTTTGCTGTCTCTTTTCGAAGCATTCAAAACTTGGGGTAAGTCGTGAGCGAGCATCTACCTTGGACCAAGTACTTGTATCCGCCCAAAGTAGGCATGTGCATTGTGTCGATGTGAATTTTCGCGAAGATGGGGGCTGGTACTGCGACGGTTGGAGGAATGAGGATTTGACGCACTTGTCGAGACTGGCAGATATGGCACAATCGAACGAACCAAGCGATGTCGGCGTAGTGGAACGGCCACCAGAATCGCTCATTGATGAAGGCTCAGGTTGCGTAGATTCCTCGATGTGCGGTGCGGTCGTGACATTCTCGAAGGATTCAAAGGCGATCGCCGGGCTTGACGACTAGCTTGTGTGCTCCGTGACTGTCCTTGCGCCAGAGGGTGTCGTTGTCGAGGAAGAATTGCATGCAGTACTTGATGAACCCTTCGTAGACGCCTTCGGAGATGCCGTGGGGCTTCACTAACGTTCGATGAAATTCGAGCACGTCGTCGAGCTTTGCATCTGCGAGTGTCGCGACTTGAGGTCAAGCGACTGGGGGAAAACCTAAGAGCTGGGGGCGTCCGACTAAGTCTTACTGAAGCGATGGTGAGCTACGCTCAAACCTAAGGCTAGGGACAAGAAAGTGTATTAGTTAGTGTAAGGTAAGTGTCACGAGTTGGTACGGCGCCTAGCCGTTTTTTAATTTTTTCCTTTTCGCGGGCTCGAACCCGCGACCTTCGTACTACCTGCCTGATACGGACGCACCACTATCTACTGTACGATTAGATTAGATGGGGCGGCAGCGCACGGCACAGCTCGGGCCCCGCTGACACAGCCACTCTGACTCACCGGCCCCCGGGGCCGCGTCGGCATGCTGCGCACAGACCAGCTGCACACGGACCAACGTGCACAGCCTGCCCTAATCTCCCCATGTATATAAGCCGGCCTCTGCTGCCCTAGGGACCTCAGTTTCGACCTCTTGTTCCTAGGTCAGTAAGCCCTCAGTTGTATTCCTTTCTTACCTTACTAACTAATACATTCACTTGTCCCTAGCCTTAGGTTTGA